TACAGTACCGTCAAACCAATTGTAAGCTTGTACATTTCAATGATTTTTACTGAATAAATATGATTGTTACTGTATCGTTAAAACATTATTATTCTTATTACCAGTACTAGCTAGTTTTAGTTAATTTTATCTGCTTTTAAATGGCTTAATCCCTCTCATTTCTGGTCCAAGTATAACATAAGTTTATGTACATTGTTTTCTTGTTCCTCTACAGTTTAAATCTGTGCATTAAAACACATCCATCAAGCAAGGTCGGGTCAAAGCGGCAATTTACGCTGTGCAAAGTCAAAATTAAGCGTGGTAGGGATGTGGACTTGCAACAGTTGGTAATATTGACACTTATTTACCTGATTTTTGCTGAAAACTAAACTACCAAGGGTGCAAGTTCAGGAAAATGCCCTAGCGTGGATCAGACTTTCTCCATGACCGCAAGCAGTGTGTGTGATTAATGGCATAGAAAATCATCATGTATATTATTACCACGTCTAAGCAGAATTACCACAGGGCAGTGTATTGTGCCAGCTGTTGCTTGTTTGCTTCATAAATGACATGCCTGGCATACATGCCTCCGCCCTACAAATGTTGCGGATGAAGCCAAGTTATTTGAGGAAATTAGAACCAAGCAGACTGTAGAGCTGCAGAAGGATCACTGTGAGCATCAGGGTGCATGAAAGAAATGGCTGCTAGATTCAAGGTCGCCCAAGTGTAGAGGCTGTACCTGGGATGTACCAACAGTAAGGCGTATCATATGTCCCAATGGGACAGAAGAAACTGCATTAATTGGAGACAATGTGAAAAGACAGCAGGTATTGTCGCGATGACAATGAGCTGAAGTTCTCGGGACCATTAAATCGAGCAGCTAAATTATGTCTTATAAGAAGGTCGTTCAGATATCTGATTCATCCTTATAGCAGCTCTTCAAGAGTGTAGTACTCCCCCACCGTCTGGAGTACTGTCCTCCATCTGGTCCAGTTATGCTAGGACTGTCAGGGTGGTTGAAAATGTCAAGGAGGGCCACCAGACTAACACCTGCACTGGTACCTCGCTACCATGAGAGATTAGAGCGCCTGGTTGCCTAGCTTATATTACTGAACAGGCAAGTGGGCAGCAATACGTAACTTCTA